TTGAGAAACACTGAATTAACCTATAAAAGGCAGAAGGTGCTGGGTGCAATTGCGGGAGAGAATTGGAATGGATGTATTGATTTCTATGGGGCAGGATTTCCATAATTAAGGGGCCGTGAGGAAAACATGGGAATCCTAAATCTGTTTTCCTAACAGGCCAGCAAGCAGGACTGATAAGGCCCATTTTTACATCTGGGAAGATCTAAGGACTAATTACCTTAGTCAGGATGGTATAATGACCCCCTTAACTGGTGCTTGACACCCGGTGACACCATCCTAGCAGCAATACAGAAGTGGTTTCACCCTGCCTTCATGCAGGATTTAGTCGTGCTCTCCCATCTAGCCTACGGTTTGGGGATCGCCGAGTGGTCTCCTTTCCAAGCCCAATTTGGCTTTGCTTCTGAGGTCAGCCAGCTAAAGCAGAGTTGTGTGCCAATACCAAAAGCGGAATATCACTCATCCTTTGTTCTTTTGGTTAACACACCCCAGAGCTGGCTGAACTACAATGCAGAAATGTTGCTACTTCTGACTGTGGCTTTGATTCTTGGCTTAACGCTGCCATGGATTTTTTGCTGACCGCAAACCCCGACCTTTTCACTTGAGTTCTCCCATGGAAAGGGGAAATGACTCAACATTTAGGGTTACTGGGAGGGTAAAAACAAAGTCAGGTTGCAAAAGGCCTTGCAATATTAAAAGTCAAAGACCGATCGCAGGTCATAGCATGATCGAGTCCATGCTAGCTTATATGAACATTTATTTCTGCATGTACTGAAATGTGTGCAATGCAGCTCACCCCCATTTTGGGGCAGGAGATAAACTGGTGTTCAGGGTTTTCTCCACCATCGCCGTGGGATGTTGGCGAAGCATTCCTGCAACCGTGTTCCCTTCAGAGATCTATGAAACTGCAGGAGTGCTTTGCTTCCTAACTTTTCAAATTAAAAATCACGTCTAAATAGCAGGTGGCCAAGAAGCTTGGGGTGCACCCGGAGAAGGTGTGGGGGGAATGAGGTTCTTAACCCATCACTTCTCCAAGGGTTTGATGGTCTTCCGTCCTGCACTTCCCCGGACAGAGCTGGGGCGCACTTTGGGGGTCCTCCTGGACTCGCCGCTCCTGCTTGAGGAGGAGGTGGCAGCCGTGGCTGGAGGGCACTTGCACAGACCCGTCTTGTGCACCAGTTACACCCCTTCCTGGATCAGGAGGCCCTGCTCACCATCACTCACACCTTGGTCACTTCCCATTGGATGACTGCAACGCACTCTACATGGGGCTGCCCTTGAAGACCACCCAGAAGTTGCAACGGGTCCAGAATGCAGTGGTGTGAGCAGTGTTGAGCACCCCCTCGGTTCACCCACATTACACCCTTGTTGCACAAACTGCGGTGGTTCCCAGTTTCCTTCCAGGTGCAGCTCCAGGTGCTGGTTATTAACTTTAAAGCCCTGCGTGGCACGGGACCGGAGCCACCTCTCCCTGAGGACATCTGTCCGTCCCACCAGAGCAGACAGGTCCCCCCCCCTTAAACATTGCCATCTTGTGGGTCCTCAGAAGCGTGCCTTTTCCATTGCAGCCCTTGCCCCGTGGAACACCCTCCCGCTTGAGATCTGACCGGCCCCCACCCCTTTAGCCTCCAGAGGGCACTGAAGGTCTGGCTTTTCTCCCACGGGTCAGGGTAGGGTGAGTTAGAGCGGATGAAAAGGTGGTGGTGGCACCAGGTTTTCCCATTTGCGGTCTGGGGCTGTTGTTTTTAGGGTTGTATACCTCGTTTTTATTGCGGGAATGTGAGCCGCCCAGAGTCCATTTTAAGATGGGCGGTTAAACATGTGTTTTAAATAAGTAAATAAGTGGCCTGACGAGCTTACACGCTCGTGTCCTGGGTCAGTAGCTTCCCTCCTTTTACAGAGCACCTGAACACTGAACAGTTGTTCCCCCTTCCCTAAACCACGGGGTTGGTATAATCTGAATGCACCTATGGGTAGCCGTTAGAACCCGTGACATCACTGTGGAAGTGACATCGTGGCATGGGTGATGTCATTAGGGCTTCTGCCAGAGGCCTCCACACAGGTCCACCTCCCGCGAAGCTTGCATGATATTCCTAATTTGCCAAACATCTCAATCGAAATCAAGAATTTGGTCCAATGTGGTGGGCTGGATTTGCACAAGAGAAGAGGCTAAAATACGCTTTGCTTGCATTCATTGGGCCAATCGCCTAAAACAGATTACACAAAGAATTAGCAGAATGCGTTCTCACAACGTGCTAAACTTGGTGGGTGTTAACCCTGGTTAATTTTTTTGTGAGTTCACACAGGTTGGATGAACTCAGGACTTTCAGTTAGTTGATGGTTCAATGTATAAGCCAACCCAGAAAACAGGTTAATTCCATAACCAAACTAAGGTTGTTGAGTAAACCCAACCAGTGTTTGTCTGTGTTGTGTGAATCTTAGCAGTTGGATCAACTCAGTAAACTATGGTTAATAGAACCATGGATTAGAATGTTGGGTGAACAGAGCCTAAATGCTACAATTGTCATGTTAAGTTAAACCAGCTCAAATTCCTTGTCTTGGTTCCCCTGTTTAACCATTGCTGGTTACGCTGCAATCAGCTGGATTAACAGATCATGCTCACCCAGAAACCCTGGTTTAAAAGCCAGAACAGTTGGGTTCACACCACAACTACGCCCTGAGCACACTAACCACATTGTGACTGATTGAGTTGAATAAACCAGTCCTTTCTATCATGCAAAGGGATGGGGTTAGGCACCAAATAGAGACCCTGAGTTAGCTCATGGCGTCAATGACCTCGACTTCACTTCCGTGATTCCAATATTCTGTGTTTGCATGGCGCACAAGATGGGGTTTGCACCACAGGGTTGCTCGAGTGAGTAGCTAATCCGGTTGAGCGTGCCATGCAGTGCAACCAAATGAAAGCCTTATTATGGTGGATTGCACAGTCAGCCAGATGTTTAGACTGGGTTTGGCATCTTTATCCACCTATCGAGTCCTTCCCAAGGACCCGGGACAGGCCGATGTGCTTGTTTGAGGGTGTTAAAGGTCTCATCGCAGGACGGAAGCTGTTCCAAGTCAAGCTGCCTTTTGCAACGGACTGATGGTGATTTTGTCAATGTCGATGGTCTTCCAGGGGTGCTCCAGGTGTTTTGGGATGGCACCCAAGGCGCCTATTACTCTTGGGACTCTCTTTGCTTTCTTTTG